TACTTGAAATTGCTTGAAATGCAACTGTCAAGTTTTCGCCAATTTTCACCTTCAAAATTCGGTTAAGGATAATCTCAAAAAATCCGCAATAATTTTTCAAAATCCTTTGGCATAAACATTATTTTATAGATTATCTACAATTCAATTATGTATTTTTCGTGGTTATCAAAAAAATATGCTTTCCACGGATCCGAGCTTGATAAAAATGATGCAAATATGCAATCACCAACACATTTAGTTATTTTGGTGGTTGCGAACATGATTTTTGAATAAAAAAAAGGCAAAATATCGAAAAACTAAAATAAGCAAATTGTAGATAATCGATCAAAGAATGTTTATACCAAATTTGAACCAATTCTGATGTGCCGTTTTTTTAAAATAACTTAAAAAGAGTTTCAAAAAATCAACCAATCAGAGCACGGCATTCTCATCGTTGTTACGGCCTTAAAAAAAGGACAACATCCTGTAATTTTTGACCTTGGCGGCCATCTTATTCGGTTACTATACTAGCATTGTGAGGAGGGGCACCATCTTGTTGGAATTAAATTCCAATTTGATTGGCTAAAGGCATGTCGTCCAAAAAATTTTAAATTTGGTTTTTCGAAAACTCTAGGTGTCTTTTTCCGGGAAGTTGTCCATCGAAAAATTTCGGCCCCAAAACCTCAACCCCACTCAACAATTAAATCCAAATATTTCTTGATAATTTCCCACTTCCATCAACTGTCTGTTTTTTGGGACCAATATGTTTTGATATTCTCATCAAATAAACCCAAATTATTAGAGCAACTTTTGACAATAAATTATCGTGAGGGTCAACTGGATTGCTATTCGAGTGAGAAGGATGCGTATTTCGCCAACGTTGGCTACCTTTTTGTCAAAAGAAAGTTGCCGTCAACAGAATTGTCATGGCCCTTTTTGTTTTTCAGATGTAAGGTGTTTTTGAAAATCTTGCATTTTAGGACACCCCTTGTATATCGGACTCTCTCGTAAGTAATCGGAAAGGGGACAACGGTTTCTTATAGATCTTTCCACGTAGATTCCAGTGGTTTTTTTTTAAGTCAGCTTATCTCTAGAAAAATTGAACATACTTTTTTAGTCAGCTTATCTCTAGAAGAATTGAACATACATTTTTTCAAATGAGACACCCATTGGATAATTTTGCTTTTGCTAATTTCAATGATGAAAAGTTCAATAGGTTTATCTCTAACAGTATTCGAGAAAAAAATTATATCTGTTTTTGTCATAAGCAACATTGGGTTAGAAAAGGAATTTATATCTGTGAGAAAAATGAGAAAGGTCTCTTTCTAACATATTGTTTCGTATGACAAAAACAGATGTATTTTTTTTTCTCGTAGAGATAAAACTATCAAACTTTATATCACTGAACTCAGCAAAAAGCAGTGAGCTATCATTATACAGGGTGACTCATTTGAAGAAAAAAAAACACTATTCACTATCACAGAGTGAAACTGACTACGCCACTGGAATCTACGTAAAACGATCTATAAGAAACCGTTGTCACCTTTTTGATCACTTATGAGAGAGCCGTGATAGAAGAAGGGCTTTCCCGAGAGAAGTAGCCAACGTTCGAGAAAACCGCATTCTTCCAACTCCCATAGCAACCAAGTTATCCCTTATGGACACCCTGTGCATAGTGTCCATGCTGTTACAATTCGTCTAATAATTTGTATTTTTTGAGAGAGCGAAATTGACTTTCTTGAAAAATCCGTTATACCGAAGATTTTCCATAAGGTATTATCATTATACCATACTCTTGTGTGACGGTACCGCGGGGATATTTGAACCTTGTTCGGTGATATTATAATTCCAAAAATCATTATGTGTTTAAAATTTTCTTTTTGGGACACCGGGCATCTAAGATTTAGAATGACTTCTGTGTAATTTCGAAAGCAAACTATATTAATTTTAGTCCCTGCAGGATAAGACTACTTAAGTGAATCTCTTAATCCCAAGGGGATAAACTTGAGTTTTCTTGCAAAATGCCTAATTTGATTCCGTTATCAGGCGTTTGCTCAGTTTTGCCGTTAAGTCAACTTGCCTTATGATTCGGGAATATTCCTAAATTATTTAAAAAAATATCGAATATACCAAGGGAGTGAATTATTGTCTCTTGGTCCCTTTAGCGAATTGCATCCTTCGCTTCGCTCAGCCTTCGATGGGAGCCTAAAAGATCCACTTTGGATTTAAGCTATTTACTCAACTGGTTTTCACTTATCGCACGCTGTTTTTAATCAGTAACGGAAATCATACGGAAAGAGAAAATATAATTAAATTCCAAAATTAGCTCTGAATGCTTTTAGATTTTTATTCAATATCCGAAGCGATTTCAAGGTAGGTTTCCAAAAATATAATAACGAATAGATTTTAATTTCAAATTGATTTTTTTCGTGTGAAAGTATCTGCCAATAGCAAATGTACTCATACACGGACTGATGTCACTTCCTCTACTTTGTTTTGGATATGTGTTTTTATGTTAGGGGATAGTGCAGTTTGCGTATTTGACTTCTTTTGCTTGTTTGATTATTAAGTAAGCTATTTGTTGACTACAACATTCAATGACCTAATAAGTTGAGCAGAAAAATAACTAGTGGTGTAGAATGCCAGATAAGTGTCTGGTTGTGGGATGTAGAAGTCGCCGAGAAAGGGACAATGTGTCTTTACACAGGGTCCAATGCGTAACCAGTTCTCGTAACGGCGAGTAGTCCACGACGGACCACAAACTTTAGAATAACAGCGACGCAGACATGAGATCGAAAAGAGGGACCGCAAGACGGAGCGTGAGAACAGAGAATCAGATTTTGATAGGAAACAACGGACTTTTGAGCTACAGAAAACTAAAAAATTATATTATATTATTTAAAAAAACATATATGTACTATGCTCCATTATGTCATTAAAAAATTAAATTATACTTTCAGAAAAAAAAATTATTTGTTCATTGCTGTAAAATCTATGACCAAACACCAAGTAAGCAGCAATGTCTGGATATATTACTGATGGAACACTCGCCAAAGAATAATCTAACTCGGAACCATCTAAAATATATGGATCCACATCTCCAATTGGATTTCTTTAACCTTAGTCAAATAAATCTAATTGGAGATGTGGATAATACCTAGAAAATACATAAATGGAAAATATTGCATCTCTAATTAAAATAATTGTATTTATAGAAAAATAAAATTGCACCGCTTTAATATCTTGGCAAAGGAAATAAAAGAGTGTAAGCATTATTTATAGACAACTACCATTTTTAATGCTATAAGTATAGAAAGTTGAAGTTAAATTAGTCCAACAAAATATTATAGAAAACCTCTGACCAATATCGGGATTCCTTAAAAGTTCTTGCAAAAATGGACTCTGCATAATTATACCGTCTTGTTTCGCCACCATGCCATTGAAAATGTCATTTTTATCACGTTGTTTGGATTGCCTAATTTGCTATGATCTTCAGTGATACATATCTTTTTCGCACGAAAAATATTTGGGTGCAAAATTAGGTACCTTAAAAAATTAGTTGTTCCGTTTCAATTTTCCAGTTTATTTTGAAAAAATGCACCTCACATCTGTATCTACATATAAAAATATCGTCAAATATTTGGAATGTATAGAGCCGCAAAATCGTCATACCTAGCACTAGTACATATACACATACATATTTCAAAATCGATTCAATTAAAAAGTCACATCTATCACATTTTATTGACCATATACCGGGTGTTTTTCAAAACCCGCTCACCCCTATAACTTTTTTATTTTTTCAAATAAACCAATGAAATTTGGTGTGTTTATTTATCACCCGGATGTGCATTATTTGACGTATTCAATTTTTTACTATCACTTCCGGTTTGACCGGAAGTGACCCTAACTTCCTTATTTTAAATGAGACGCCAGGTAAATTTTTCCTCATTTCAATAGAAAACTACATTACGAGTACAATGACACCTCATTTGTCACTTTTTGACATTTCACCTCCAAATTATTTAAATTTTTACTTTTCAATCTAGAGCGCCATGAATAAGTCAAAATGCTTAATTTTGCTCCTAGAAACATGGGAAAATTTGTTTTGAGCTTATTTTGAATTTTATATCCTTTAAAGGCTCATTTAAAGTTAGTAGCAGTGCATTTTTGGAATTATATAAATTTTTTCAAATGGAAAGGTTATGGCTCATTAGCATATTTCGAGAGAGCATTTTCTAACAAACAATTCAGTACCACACAATCGCTAGTTTATTCAAATAATAAACTAAAATTTTCCAAAAATATTTAGAATGCTAGAAAAATTCTTAATTTGAGTGATGAACTAGCGATTGTGTGGTACTGAATTGCTCATTAGAAAATGCTCTTTTGGAACATGCTCATGAGCCATACCCTTTTCATTTGAAAAAACTGATATAATTCTAAAAATGCGCTTCTACTATCTTTAAATGAGTCCGTAGAGGATATAAAATAAAAAATAAGATCAAAACAAATTTTCCCATGTTCCTATGAGCAAAATTAAGCATTTTGACTTATTCATGGTGCTCTAGATTTAAAAGTAAAAATTTAAATAATTTGGCGATGAAATGTCAAAAAGTGACAAATGAGGTGTCATTGTACTCGTAATGTAGTTTTCTATTAAAATGAGGAAAAATATACCTAGCGTCTCATTTAAAATAAGAAAGTTCACTTCCGTTCAAACCGGAAATGATAGTAAAAAATTAAATACGTCAAATAATGCACATCCGGGTCATAAATAAACACATCTGGAAAAATAAAAAAGTTATAGGGGTGAGCGGGTTTTGGAAAACACCCGGTATATTCGCAGCATTGCAATACCCTATTCACCAGCTCATTTACTTTTTCTTTTTCCAGGTTATTTTCCGCTCCCATCAATATACTGCCTAGCCTGGATTTGTCTGGACGTACTCTTCTGCACCGCATCAATAATGCACCTGTGCACAATCAGTGTTGACAGATACCTATCCCTCCGATATCCCATGAAGTTTGGAAGGAATAAATCTAGGCGCAGGGTGATTTTAAAAATAGTGTTTGTCTGGCTGCTATCAATAGCAATGAGTTTGCCACTGAGTTTGATGTATTCACAAGTAAGTAAAATTATTTATTATTAAAATCAATAATTTTTATACGACCAATTTTTTTATCGGTAGTTTAATATTCGTTTTATGATATATTTATATACCTACCAATTATTTCATAATTATTGATGGCAGGTCTATCAGGGTGTCTATAATGCTATAAAATTAATTTGCTTGCTCTCCAGCAACCGACATCTAGATAATAAGATAACGACATTCCTTAGATCAAAGAAACCCATATAACCTTCAAAAACAAAAAATCCTCGGGCTATGATGACATATCTATCAAACTATTACTCTATCTTAATGCTAGGGGTTTTCGTGCGCTTGGTGCTGCAATAAATAATTTCTTTGACAAGGGTATATTTCCAAATATATCCTCAAGCATGCAGTGGTTTTACCTTTCCACAAAGGGGGAGACTCAGACTCTCCAGAAAATTTCGGTTCTATTTCACTTCTTCCTTCTTCCTTCACTTGGTAAGCTGATTGAGAAACTGGTCAAAATTAAAGTTCTTTCATTCCTCAATCTAGTCAGGTCCCTCTGCAATAATCAATTTGATTGATGAGAATCAGAATCACCTTTCAGCAGCGGTGTTTGGTGATCTGTCGAAGGCTTTCGACTGTGTCGATCATTTTGTGTTGCTCTGTTAGCTTGAAGTGAGGTGTGACTCTAAATCAATCTCAGTCATACTTAAGTGATCGTCAGCAGGTAGTTTCATATAGGGGTGGGTTTTTGGATAAAATGAGCAACAACTGCGGTGTGCCTCAGAGCTCTATCCTTAGCCCTCTTTTGTTCTTGATCAACATTGATGATCTAGCCTCTCTCAGGGTCGGGAAAAGTATAAGACGCTGACGACACGTCCCTTGTCTGGCATGCGAAGAGTGGAAAATTCTTGAAACGCATGATTAATGTCGATTTGGATTTGATAAAAACCTGGTGAGACAGCAACAATCTATCCTTCAACATATCTAAGACCAATATGTTAAACTTCAAGTGCTCATTATCCAATATCTCATATCTCCTTATGTGGTGATTTCATTTATCCCACCGCCTGTGCTAAGTTTCTTGGAGTTAAAAGTTACAGTGGACGAGAGTCTTGAGCTTGAGCAGCATATTATGGCACTCACTAGTAAGTTTCATCTGTTTTGCTTTGAGAGTACTCTCAGAGCAGTTATAGCTGCGAGCTCTCGGGACCGCATATTTTTCTCTATGGGAGTCGCACATAACTTATGGAATTGCATTTTTGGGGTTGTTGTAGTACTACAAATTTCAACTTTATATGTATTTTACAAAAAAAGAGCCCTTGTGTTTATGCTTAGATTTCCCTTCCGACAATCTTGCAAACCTATAGAATTTTCAATACCTATTTAGAAGTACCAGTCGTTCTAGTGACGAAGCGTATGTCGCTTCTTGGACCCACAAATAAAATTAGGTTAGGAATTTCCTATTTGTACATGAAATTGACGTATTAGCAATGGACGTTCGTTTTTGATGGTGATTTTTTGTTTCTTCTGATTCGTGATTGATAAATAAGGATGGGGTTATAGGTATTAAAAATAATATAGCTCCATTTCTCATAAAATTCGAACTGTGTCATGCTTATATATACTCGAAAGTGTTTGCCTGGTCTATAGGAAATACTATGAACAACTTTCTTAACAAGGCTCTATTCTACTAGGCAAGCCAATAATATTCCACTGCAAATTCCCAGAAGCACCTTGGTGAAAAAGTCTTTTGTTTATTCTGCTAAGAATGCCTAGAATTTTCTATCATCTAGCGTTAGGTCTTCACGTTCATACGGGAGGTTCAGAAAGGGGGTAAGGGAATTACCTACTCTTGACTAAAAGCTACTATAATGTTGAGGAATTCTTTGGAGATACATTGTGAACACATTTTTAACTTAGATGAAATTTTAAATTGTACTTACAGATATTAAGTTGTATCAAATCAGCGTTCCAAAATAGAATCGAACTTGTTTGGATTGTTGTTACTAGGGCAACTAAAATATTTGATTTTGATAGAATAATAGGTCTGTTTCTCCAGAAAACATGAACCAGTCAATCAATGAATTTCATTGATTGAAAATAGTTTTCTGACTGTTTCCAACCAATGAATCTCGCTCTGACTGGTTTGTGATTTCTGCAGAAACAGACCTTATTAGACTTTTACAGTAATTGTTCTGATGTGGTTTTCAGTTGACCTCAAAATTCAAATTGTGTTTAATGCGTGTTTCTCATGCATTCCGTGAGTGAAAACAAAATTCCATGCACCCCTCCAGAAATTCGTGCAGCCGCACAAGTAGCATCTCTAGCATTATCTACTTCCAGAGAAATCAAGGCAAAAATTATAAAATTGTGTACAACATCTGTGCAGACTAGTGACTAAAGAATGGCACCAACTCATTTTATACAAATCTGCAAATTATTACTATAGTTTCTTAATAAAATGAATAGTCGTAGATAAAGCATAGTATTTGACTCGCGTATAAAGGCTATATGACACTCGCCTGCGGCTCGTGTAATATAGCCTACATGATACGCTCGTTAAATAATATACTATTTTGAAATAAAAATAACGCTCAATCTCCTAGTCACGTGAACATGCGTGGTAATGTTTACCTGCTGGCTGCTTATTCGTCACTTCCAATACATGACTACAATTAAATTATTTAGGTTAAAATAGATAGTATTCAAACATAGCTATAAAATATTTCTTCTTCTAAAACTATAAGAAACGTTCGTTCGCTAAATGACCGAATCTCACATGTCTCTTATCTTTAAATCAATAAATAGTAAAGGGTGAGACTACAATCTGAATCCTTGAATGTCTAGAAAAACCTGTATTAGATTAGATTAGATTAATATTGGAGTGTTGTTGCACTGCGACCTAAAGATCTATTGTGCCCCCTGCTGAAGCCGATTTGATGTGGATCTCAAATCATAGTACTTCGTCCAGTCCTATGGCCTTGATGAGGGCTAGTAACTGGTACGGTGTCAAAGATGGTATGTCTCCTTCTAAAACTACATAGTCACCGAGATGTGTAGCCCGGCTTCTAGCGACGGCTTCGCATACGGTTAGTAGGTGTTCTGGAGTTTCTTCCTCCTCCCCGCAAAACCTGTATTCACTGGATCTCTCGAGTAGCATTTTCCTGCGGTGTTCTCGAAGGCACCCATAGTAAAGTGACTTTATTTTTCTTTCCTACCTCATTTAGTTTCCCTAGGCAATCCCGTACTATCTTAGAACTGATGACATATGAACTCAGTGCCATTATGGCCGATTGACTGTCGGTGAATATTGCAATATCTTGCTTGAGATAATTCCTGTTCAGGATCATTTGAGCACATCTGTCAATGGCGTGTATTTCCGCCTGAAAGACACTGGTGTATTTACCCAGTGACTCAAAATATTTGGTGCGAGGCCCGAATACTCCAGCTCCTGATCGGTTTTCGAACCATCTGTGTACCATTTAATGGTGTTTTCTTTGAGAGATTCGGTGATCTTGCCGCTTTCCCAGTCGCTTTTATTATCAATCCTTGTGAGGAAGTTTCTCTCAAAGTGATATTCTTTGGTTTTATCGTCTTTAGGAAGATCGAATAAGGGAATACACCATGTCTGGGAAGACCATGCTCCTTGATCGATGATGTCCTTAGCCTCGGTCCTATTCCTAGCGAGTCTAAACATAGCCCTTTCTGCAGCTCCCTTCACCGACAAGTGCAAAGGTGTGAGGTCAAGTATGACGTTCAACGCTGCTGCTGGACATGTTCTCATGGCTCCTGTAATACATACACTTGCCAGTCTTTGCAATTTATCAAGTGCTCGCCTTGTAGTGCTTTGTTCTGCTATGCCATACCAAACTGCTGCCCCATATGTGATTATGGGTTTTACCATCATAATGTACATCCACCGCAGTATTTTTGGTGTACATCCCCAGTTTTTACCCGCCAAGTTTCGGCACACCATAATGGCTTTAGTGGCTTTGTTAACAATGGCTTCTAGGTGTTTTTTCCATAGAAGTTTACTATCCAGTGTTACGCCCAGATATTTGACTTCGTTTGCTTGATTTACAACCTCTCCACTTAGGTGAATTTCCCTAGTAAGTTGACTTTTCCTTCTAAGTGCAAATGGTAGAATAGTGGTTTTTGCTGAGTTGATGCTCAGTCCCACCGATGTGCACCATTCTTGGGTAGTAGGTACTTAGGCCTTTTTGTATGAGGTCGTATAGTGTGCCCTCAAACTTGCCTTTGGCAATAATGACAATATCATCGGCGTAACCTATACAAGTTAGACCCTGATTTGTCAGTCTGGACAGGAGTTCATCAACTACCAGGCTCCACAACAGGGGTGAGGTTACTCCCCCTTGAGGTGTACCACGAGTGGTTCTGATGCTTGTGGTTTTTTCACCCACAGTTGTCTCAGCTGTTCTCGTAGTCAGCATTTCACAGAACCACCGGACTATGGTTTTATTCACTCCTCTCCTCTCCATCACTCCTCTCCTCTCCAGAGCAATTTTTATCGCCCCATGGGACGTGTTATCAAAAGCCCCGGATATATCCAGGAAGGCACATATGGCTGTTTCTTTTTCCTTAAGGGTTTTTTGGATGATTTCTGTAAGTTGATAGAGCGCTGTCTCTGTCGATCTGCCTGCTCTGTATGCATGTTGGCACGAGTGTAGAGGTGCCTTCTCCAAAATTTCCTTTCTGATGTAGTTATCTACAGCTTTTTCTATCGTCTTTAGTATAAAGGACGTAAGACTAATAGGTCGAAAAGATTTAGGGTTTGTCCCATCCTTTTTTTCCTATTTTGGGTATGAAGGTTACTTTAGCTCGTCGCCAGATACTCGGTATATATCCCGAGGCTAAACTAGTCCTAGCTATTCTAAGTAGGTGAGGGAATATTTCCTTTTGCCCTTTTTGTAAAAGGGCAGGAAATATTCCGTCCACTCCTGGTGACTTAAACGGTTGAAAGGTACTTATTGCCCATTTCATCCGTTCCGTAGTAAAAACCCTCT